GTGAGCCAGAAAAAAGGAGAATCAATTGTCTCTCAACCCTCACCACGTTCGGACGGGAAAATATAAAGTTAAAGAAAAGTGAACCGCGTGTTTTAATTGTTTGATTGACTCCACAACTTCAGAAGTGGGATTCGATCTGTTTAGAAGAATTTTCGGTGATTCCTGTGGAAGTGAGTATGGAAAACCGGATGAACAAGCAAGAGCTTCAGGAATGGTTGCAGGCACACGACATTGAGGTTCCGGCTTAGGCAACCATTCGACACCTGCGAGCTCTCTATGACAGCCATCCGGATAATCGCGCTGCAAACGAGGAGGAGTACAATGAAGAAGAGGACAACGAGGAGGAGGACAACGCGAAAGAGGCACTGGATGAAGAAATCCGAATTTTGCAGAAGAAGAAGAAGATCGCAGACCTGCGTCGGGAGCTGGCCGGCAACGAATTTCTGTATGCCCGACCACCAGATTTTCAGGATGTAAAATGCCTGGTTCCACTGTTTGCTGGCAACGACTCCTACGTTCCACAGAGTTGGCTGAATGATTTTGAACGGGCTTGTGATTCAGTTCGAGGAGATGCGGATTTCCGATTGAAATGCATCCGCAGACTAATGGAGCCGGGCACAGAGGCAGAATGGTTCTTGCGTGTGGACCGGTCTGTCACTTACGGCGAATTTCGTGCAAATTTTCTACAAAATTTCGGTCACCCATTCACGGTGGCAGAAATCGTCGACAAGCTCAAGAAAACTACGTACATCAACAGCAAGACCTCGGTTATGGGATACATCCTCAAGATGCAAGAGATTGCTTCACGTGGAGACATTGACGAGGCCCAGACTGTACAGATGATCGTCGATGGATTCCGTGATCGTTCCGCCGATATTTCCGTCCTCTATCCGGCCAAGGACATGATGCAACTGAAACAACTAGCCCGACGATATGCGCAGCTCCGTGAAATACGTTCCAGTTCCGTTCGTGATACTCTATCTGTTCCGGCACGCAACAAACCGAAGGCTAAGGGTGGTTCCGATTCCGAATTACGATGCTACAATTGTTCCGGCAAAGGACACGTTTCCGCTCGCTGTCCAGAGCCTCGCCGAGAGCCAGGATCCTGCTTCCGTTGTGGTTCTAGAGAACACATCATCAAGAACTGTCCCAAACCATCGCCACGCAATAAGGATGAAGTGGCACTAGTAGACGACTTCCGTGGAGCCAAACCGGTCGATAACCCCAACACCCAATTGAGTGCAGCTCTTTCCGAGCTGAATCTGGTAAGTGTTGCTTTTCTATCTGGAAGGAAAGTGCATCCACTAAGAAATTTTCTTTCTCTTTTCGATACGGGCAGTCCGATCAATCTTGTTAAGCGATCCGCAGTACCCAGTGAATTGATTCCTCCCAATGAGGAGTTTTCCGGATTCCGTAGTATTGGTAATTTTCCCCTGTGTGCTTACGCTGTCATCCCAGCTCGTGTCGCTTATGGTACTCATTCCGAGAAGTTAAAGTTTTATGTTGTTCCAGATCATTTCATGGTCCATCCCGTTTTGTTGGGACGTGAATTTTTGAAGGCTTTTGGTATTATCCTATTCAATACACGATCAAGCCAGTATAAAATTGAAGTAATGAACAACAATGAAATCCAAATTTCAGATAACCTGTTACATTGTGTGTATGATTTATTTCAAGAAGGAAGAGCTAGAGTTCTCAACTGTTGCCCCTTATGTTCGTCTTATTTTTGTAATGAACAGTTTAATGACCCTGTTGGAGATTCCTTCATTCCAGATATTTATGCCATTGAGTTAGATAATGAGTTTCCTATCAATCCAAAATTGGAACCCAATCACAAACGACAGTTGTTGACTGTTATTAAAGGAAATTACCTGGACACTACTAGAATTCTCGAAAAAGAACATTCATATGCAATGAGGTTAAGATTGACGTCTGACAATCCCATCAGTTATGGGCCAAGACGCCTGTCCTATCTATTCCGATAAGGTGGAGGTAGATCGCATTGTTGATGAATTATTCGCAGCTGGTATCATCTGGCCCAGCAATTCTCCGTATTCGTTTCCGGTTGTTTTAAAAATGTGTGTTGATTATCGTTCGCTAAACAAAATAACTGTACGTGACAATTATCCAATTCCGCTCATTGATGACTGTTTGGAACGAGTTAAGGGAAAACATATTTCTCGGTACTAGACTTGAAAAATGGTTTCCATCAAGTGAATATGGACCCTGATTCTATTCCGTACACTGCATTTGTAACACCTAGTGGACAGTATGAGTACCTCAAAATGCCGTTTGGGTTACGCAATGCACCAGCGGTTTTTCCGTTTTATAAATATGGTGTTGGATCCGTTCATCAAGGAAGGTTCTGTCGTAGTTTATATGGATGACGTGACGCTGGCAACCAACACAATTTCTGAACACTTCGTTTTACTAGGGCGTGTTCTCCGGACATTAGCCGAATTTCGATTAGAAATCAAAATTAAGAAATGTCAGTTCTGTTTTACGGAAATCGAGCATTTGGAAGCCATTAAGAGCATGCCAATTCCGACAGATATTAAACAGGTCAATAAGTGTCTTGGACTTTTTTCGTACTTCCGTCGATTTGTTCCGTCCTTTTCTTTTTTCTATCTCGCTCCCATTACGCAATTTGGTAAAACCGGGTGCCAAATTTGAATTTGATGAAAAATGCATTAAAGCGTTTGTTACGTTACGTGATAAGTTGATTTCTGCTCCTGTTTTGGCCCTTTATAACCCATCACGCGAAACCGAGTTACATTGCGATGCCAGTTCCGATGGTTTTAGCGGAATACTATTGCAAAAACAAGATGATGGTAAGATGCATCCGGTTGCATATTTTCCAAGCGGACTACTTCTACAGAGTCTCGGTACCACAGTTTCGAGTTGGAAACGTTGGCTATAATTTATTCCTTACGTAAGTTCCGAATTTACCTAGAGGGTATTCCATTCCGTATTACTACAGATTGTAATTCCCTCGCTATGACGCTAAATAAGAAGAGTATTAATGCTAAAATTGCGAGGTGGGCATTGGAACTAGAGAATTATCATTACAGCATTCAGCATCGTAACGGTAAATTTATGAATCATGTTGAAGTCGTATTCCCTATAATTCCGATCAGGTCGTATCCGGTATCAGTCCAGATGATATTGACTTTCAATTACAATTGGCGCAAGGACGCGACTCTTTGATTCTTAAGTTAAGAGAAGGACTGGAAACCGGATCTGTTAAAAATTTTGTTTTGGATGATGGACTGGTCTATCACTCTTTCTTCGATGGAAAACTTTTGTTTTATGTTCCCGCTGAAATGGAAAGTCATATTATCCGCTATGTTCATGAGAAGCTGTGTCATATGGGTATTACGAAGACTCTAGATCAATTGAAAATGCATTACTGGTTTCCGAAAATGAAAGACAAGGTTGAAAACCATATTAAGAATTGTATCCGCTGTATTATGTATTCCGACTCAAATTCCGATGGAGGTCGTGCTCTGCACAGTATTCCGAAGAAACCTGTTCCGTTTGATACTATTCATGTAGACCACTTTGGTCCCCTTCCGTCGATTGTTTCCAAGAGGAAACACATTTTGGTTGTCGTTGACGCTTTTACAAAGTATGTTAAGTTGTATGCTGTCAATTCCACGAGTACGAAAGAAGTGTGTGCATGTTTAGATAAGTATTTTGAATGTTATAGTCGCCCACGACGAATTATTAGTGACCGAGGTACGTGTTTTACTTCATTGGAATTTGGCGCTTACTTATTGGAAAACAATGTAGAACATGTAAAGGTAGCTACTGCGTCTGCTCAAGCGAATGGACAAGTGGAACGTGTTAACCGGGTGATCAAGTCCATGTTGGGAAAACTTTCTGAACCAGTTCAACATGCAAATTGGGTTAAAATGTTAAGCAAGGTAGAGTACGCTATCAATAACTCTATTCATTCGACGCAACAAACTCCATCTGTCCTCTTGTTTGGAGTCGGTCAGAGAGGGAGGGAGGTCGACAGTCTGTCTGAATATCTGGATGATAGGCTCAATTCAGAGGTAGATCGTGATTTAACTACATTACGAGAAAAAGCTTCACGTCATGTCGAAGACTCTCAGAGTAAGAATTCCGCTTCATTCGTCAAGAGACATAAATTGCCAAATACTTTCACCGAAGGGGAATATGTTGTAATACGCAACGTTGATACTACAATAAGAACGAACAAAAAGTTCATTCCGAAGTATCGAGGGCCTTATCGCATTCACAGGGTACTGCCAAATGATCGTTACGTTGTTCGAGATATTGAAAATTGTCAAATATCTCAACTTCCTTACGATGGTATAATTGAAGCTGCTCGAATTAAGAGCTGGGCTGATTGGAGAACCCCTTCTAAAGATGAGATGCACTGATGGATAAAGCAACACTTGTCATATTGGATGTATATAGTTTTGTGTTTGTATTTATATGTTTACTAACCCCGAGTGAGACGTGGGTAATCGTCTCCCATAATTAAATAAGATGATCGAGTCGATCATTGGTCAGGAATGGCCGAGTTGTAGTATTCTGAGTATTTAGATTTATGTGTGTTGTTTTGTGGTCCGCTGGCAGCACTGTTGCATCGAGCGAATTTGAGTGTGAACGCGACTGACTTCCGGTATATATGGTTGCGTGTGTGAAGTATGAATGGAAAAGTAGGTACGAGCGTGAGCCAGAAAAAAAGGAGAATCAATTGTCTCTCAACCCTCACCACGTTCGGACGGGAAAATATAAAGTTAAAGAAAAGTGAACCGCGTGTTTTAATTGTTTGATTGACTTCACAGTTTACACACTTCTTGGAAGTTCCCACACACAAAGTGTAGGACACTTTCCCATATTCCTTACAGAGCATGTTCCCACAACCAAATCTGGGTCATGTCAATTCACAGCCAATCGACTATTTCCATACCACACAAGTGTTGCAATAAGCCAATGCACTTGTGTTCCCAGGCATCAAAGTGTCGATGCATAGTTGTTGTTCATGTGCACCAAAAGACAAACGGATTCGAATTTCGGAGCTTTCCATTTCTTTCCGACTCGATACTGACCAATACCAACAGCGCTTAGTTTACATAGTACACATATTGGCATTCGACCGTATACTTTACCGCCCTCTGATTCGTTGAAATGTAAATGGTTGTTCAAGATCCCCCACCAACTAGAATAAGCTTGAAGAAGTACTAGATTACAAAGGAGTTAGAGGATAAGATTGAAATTTAATAAAGATCATTATGCGTTCAACTATCAACCGAACTGGTTTTCTTCATGAAGAAAGAAACTATCAAAGAACCCATATCAACGTGTCACGGAAATGCGTCCCATATGCCGAAGTAGTGCTCCACCCGACCTACATTCAAAATAGAACTGCTATTAAAAGAAAATAAAAAGAGCAAATAGACGTCCAGGAGAACTCTTGTACTAACGCAACGTTTTGCGTCATCCAGTCACTTCATGTGCTTTGCATAATAGTTTTGAGAACATTAGAACGATACCTTATTCCGAATTATACTGGCTATATGCCTTCTTTGTAAGTCGAAGAGACATTGTCAAGTTTAATTTTTCTTTTCCATTCGACTCAACTGTGTATTTGATTTTTCGCTACTACACATTGGAGTAATAATATTCTACACTAACATTGGAAATACAATTTTCCCTGCTCTACTGTGGTGACGGTTGAATAAGTTTCCACTTCAACGACGATAGACATAAGGAATGCTTTTTAGATAATAGTTTTTTTGAATTTCGCAAAAAAAAAAATAACCTAAGCGGATTGTTGTCACGTTTACAAACTACTGAGTAAGTTTAACCTTTTTTGTTTGGTTTTAGTTTTCGATCATCGACAAAGTTTTAAAACATCTATTTACAAAACATCGAATCGACATTATCTTACTCTTTCATACTCTCTGACAGAACTGAAAGAACTAAACAGAATTTGTTGTTTCTTTCCCTCGCTTGTGTCGAGGGAAGTGAAATCACGTTTAAAAAACACAATAGAAATGCACTCACTTTTATTCAGTAAGGTACTACTAGGTATAAGAAACAAAATCGGAAATGATTGCTTATAGGAAAACAGTGAGCGAGAACTAGAATAGGTTAATTATCATAAATAGTGATCAAACACGCACGCATCCTTCGTTCATACATCCAACGCTTACGGTCTTACCTTAACTGCTGCACTCCAGCGTTGCCCCAGTTCATCAAAATCGGTGTGTTTGAGTCGCTAAAATCACATTTACATCAATCGTCAACGCTTGTAGCTCGGTGACCCGACGGTCGGTGGCATTGACAAAAGAAAGCATCACAATCCGAAGAGAAACGAGTCGCTTCTCATTGCCCTCTCTAGGACCTTATTCGCGTGGACCGCCGAAGGACTCTGCTGCTAGCTGCTTCCGGTTTCGGTTGTTCGTCCTGTTTCGTCGTCGTTGTCGTGGTTGCTGCCTGCAGCTTTGGCTTCTTGGCATTTGTCGTTGGAGGATTGGCGGATTTCGTTTCCACCTTCGGTGGAGTCCTCTTCCGGGAAGGCGCTTCCGAGCCAATGCTGGACGTTATGTTTCTTGGCGGTGGCGGGGGTGGCGGGGGTGGCGGAGCCATCAGTGCAGTCGGAACCACAGCTACCGATTTCCGCCGCAATGAGTATGCGCTGTTTTGCTTTCTAGCTACCGTTGGGGCTTCCTTGGGAAGGGGATCTACTAGCAGCATCGTGGCACCCCTTGTGCGATTGAGCTTCTTTTGGAGTTTTTGTGCGAATTCAAAGTCCCGCCGTTCCTGTTCGATCATTGCCTCCCGCCGTTGCTGATCGCTAACGATGAGATCTTTCAGTCGAGTCGACTCCCGATTCAGACTTCGTCGAGTTACCCTACTGTTACTGCTGCTGCTGTTGCTACTAGAAGAAATATCCTTCGGAGGATTGTCGTCTTTCACCTTTCCCTTCGGTTGAGGGGAAAACTTTAGCTTCCGCTTGCGTCGATTGGTACCGCCGGAAGTAGTACCGTTAGTCTTTTTGGTGGTTCCATTTCGTTTCTTCGCCCCCGACACCGTCGCCGACGCCGAAGAGGAACTGGATGGCGGTACAGCAGTCTTCTTTTTCTTATTCTTCTTTTTCGCGGTGGAAGTTTCCGTGGATTTTTGCTTCTTGGATTTCCCGTCCGTCTGGCTGACGGTGGCAGGTGGAGTGAAAAGGTGCACATTTACTACGGAGAATGCCGACCGGCGCGGAGTAGTTGGATCGATTGGCTTGAAGGGACTTTTGCTGGGACTGAAACACTCGGTCTTCGGTGGCAGCAGGCCGGTTTCCGGCCGTACGGAAGGAACTCGGACGACTGCCTTGGATGAAAAGCTGTAAATGGAAATGGATATCGAGTGAACTATGTTATTGGGTCGATGGTGTTCCCTCGCATGCGGTTGTAAGCTCATAAGGTTATAAACCCATTATCAACTACTCAATTCAGGGTTGGTAGTGGGTATGTGATATAACAGTAGTGACTTTAGGGACTAAAATAACGAACAGTGACATTTATTAATCATATATGGTTTCAGTCTTCTGTTTATTGCGACTGCCACATCGATATTTTTTTTATAAACTCAAAACCCCAACAAATGTTTGTCTGTGGTTTAAGGATCCCATAAATTAAAAATAATAAGTATGAATTGAATAAACAAGAGCACGGTCCAATTCTAACCAGCATTTCTGCACTCCTTTCTCTACCTCGATTTTGATTAAACAAACAATTTACTAAGTTAATACTAGATGCAGATCGCAAAATTGAGGCACAGAGACAAATTTTCAAAGTCGCGCATTTAGACAAATTTTGACAATTTTAGGACAGTAAATTTTAAAGATCTAAAGAGAGTTTTTGTTTCTATAATCAGTTGCTGATCTAGACTCCAACCCCTAGTGGTTTCTTTTGTCCTGATCACGAGCGTTCATCTTTCCACTTAGGAACCATCCAGCTACTGGACAGTTATAGTACCGCAATTCTGTCACAAATCAATGGCCTGTTGAAAGAAAACAGCCGCACCCTGGATCTCTCTTTTGTGAGTGCTTGTGATACAGCTCCTTTCCTCTCCACGGCAGCCGAACATTGAGTGAAGGAAGTGCATCATGACCCTGCTTTAGTTATCGTGATCGAAAATAATATTGTCCATGATTTCATCAGCCTCCAAACGCTGTGTCATATGACTTCCGTAGAGCTGACCATCGCAGTATCGTCCATGTGCTGTCTAACCTAGATTGGGAGGATATTCTAGATCCTGTAGACGTCAACATTACTGCACAAACCTCACGTCTTGGCATATGTCATTGATAGGCACGATTACAAAAAGATCTTCGCTCGTTGAAAAGAACTAAGAAGGTTGCTCTCAGAAGATTTACTAAATTCCGCTGAAATGCTACTACGTCAGACTCAACCACGAGTATAAGCGGTTAAGTCGTCTCTGTTTTCAACGCTATCAAAGGAGGATTCAACGGCGGCTAGAAGCACACTAGAAATCCTTCTGGAACTTGGTAAATGAGCAACGTAGGCAAGTTGGCTTACCCTCTTCCACGATTTTTAATGGTGAAACTGCTGGCAATCAACAAGACATTTGCAACCTGTTCTCAGCCAAATTTGCTAGTGTGTTTGAAGACGAGCAACTCTCCGCTAATCTCATTACTTCCGTGGCCAGTAATGTTCCTTTGGTCAACCAAACGCTTAGCGTTGTCGACGCCACTACAGATACGATTTCTAGAGCAGCATCTAAACTTAAGATTTCAGCTAAGGCTGAACCCGATGGTGTTCCGGCGATTATTCTTAAAATCGAATATTCCAGCTCTCTCTTTCCAGCGGCATCTTTCCGTCTTGTTGGTGGAAGACTGCGGATATGTTTCCTGTTCATAAAAAGGGAAGCAAACGCGACGTGAACAACTATCGCTGAGTGCTGCATCTAAACTGTTTGAATTGCTTGTCATAGAGTCCCTAAATGCGCATTGCAAGCAATATCTAAGTATAGATCAACACGGATTCATAACTGGGCCTAACGTCTTACATCACAGACAGTTTGATTGCTCAGACCCAAACGGACGTTAAATACACAGATCTTACGGCAGCCTTCGATAAGCTGAACTACGAAATTGCGATCGCTAAGCTTGATAGGCTAGGGATCGGTGGAAATCTTTTTTAGATGGCTTCGTTCATACCTCATGGAACGTCAACTGACTTGTCGCTCAGCAAGTTTTTGCGCAAAGTCCGGTATACCTCAGGGTAGCCATCTAGGACCATTGGTATTTCGCCTTGTTGGTGTAGTAGGCAATCAGCCGTCGCTTTTCCGTGTTACGTTGTTGGGAAGCCCTCCCTGGCAACGACCCGTTACCTGTTTGTGAAAATTAATAACTGTTCATTCCACAATCGCACTTCGTCTAGTACAGACGTTTAAATAAACTTGTCCCCGTTTTTTTCATGTTAAACCGTATACGTCGTTTGGAGTCTCCCGTTTGTCCCTTCAAGAGGTTATGGGCACCACCGCGAAGGACGTTTCGTGCAACATCCCGTTGCTGCGTGGAAGTGGAGTTATCGAGTGCGCCTGTTCCTGGAAGCCAAAGGCGTCGCGGATGTGCTGACCGAGGTGGCTCCAACGGAACAAGCTGCAAAGAAGAAGTTTGAAGAAACGGACCGGATCTCCTAGGCGTTGCTGGTGGGTTGCCTGTCGGACGAATGCCTCGAGATCGTTCGAGAGAGGGCGACCACGAAGGAGATGTGGGTCAGTCTGGAAGCGGCTTATGCGAAGAAGTCTGTCGCGAGCCAAACGTTAGTATGGAAGCAGTTGGCTCGTTTGCGGATGAAGGAAGGGGACATGAGGACGCATCTACTTGAATTCGACGGGCTCGTGAGAAAATTGAAGACAGCCGGAGCAACTCTGGCGGAAAGTGATCGATCCCCTAGTCACGGCCCTGGAGAACGTCGCGGAAGAAGACCTGAATTTGGACCTCGTCAAGCAGCGTCTATTGGCTGAAGAAAGGAAGCGATCCGACCGGCAGGGCGATTCAGTTGAAGACAAGTCGGCAGCGTTCTCGGGTGACTCAAAGATCCCAAAAGAAGTCCCAGAAATTCCTCGGTAAGTGCCACAAATGCGGGCGTCGCGGCCACATGAAAAAGGATTGTCGCCAGCGTGAAGCCAATTCAGCGAAAAAGGATGCCATGAGTTTCATGGCCGATGCAAACATTGCGGAAAAGCGGCCTGGACGAATCCTTTTCAAGCTTGATTCCGGGTGCAGTGACCACCTGGTTGGTGACAAGTTCGTTTTTGCTGCCCTGAAGAAGATGACCAGTCGCGTGGAGATCAAGGTCGCCAAGGAAGGAGAAGCTATGCTTACTGAACAGATTGGCGAAATCAACGTGACCAGCAACAAAGGTGTACAATTCAATCTGAAGAATGTGCTCTACGTTCCAGAACTACGTGAAAACCTGATATCCGTCAGGAAGATGGGCAATGCTGGGATCGATGTCTTGTTCTCTGGAAACGTAGCAGTTCTGAAGAAAAGTGGTAAGTTACTGGCCACTGGACACCTTCGAGGCAGCCTGTACGAGATTGAGCTGTCGTTGGAGGAAGTTGAAGCGAACCATTGCGAAGTATCGATTGGAAACCTGTGGCATCGTCGACTGGGGCATATCGGCCAACGCGGATTGAAGACCATGGCCCGGAAAGGAATGCTGAAAGGTATGAATGCGTGACACCTGCGTGCAAGCCAAGCAATACCGAGAACCGTTCAACAAAACGCAAGCAAAACGCAAACGCATTCTGATGTTTGCGGACCGATCGATCCGCCGGCATGGGATGGTTCTCGTTACATAGTCAGTTTCATCGATGACCATACTCATTTCTCGATGAAATTTCAGGAATTCGAAGCAAAGGTCACGGCTATGCTGGGAAAGTCCATTTCAAGAATGACGGTGGATCAGGGACGAGAGTACTGTTCCACAAATCAGATGCAGTTCTACAAGAGAAAAGGGATACAGCTAGAGACAACGGTTGCGTACACGCCCCAGCAGAATGATGTACCTTGGTTGAAAAAGTCCGTTCCGTGCTCATCCAATCCTATGTGCCGAAGCAGCTGTGGTCCGAAGCAGCCCTCGCCTGCGTTTACTTGATGAACCGAAGCCCAACAAGTGCGTTGCCCTCTGGTGTTACCCCGGCTGAGATGTGGTTCGGTATCAGACCGGATCTGGACGAACTTCGTGTGTTTGGCTGCAAGAGTTTCGTGTGGATTCGGAAGCAGCAAAGGCGTAAGTTGGATGCGAAGAGCAAGGAGATGGTCATGGTTGGGTACGCTCCGAGCGCTACCGCGTGGTGGACCCGGTGGCTCGAAAGCTTACGATTGCTCGAGACGTCAAGTTTGATGAGTCGTCCTTCCTGTACGCTGTGATGCAGCAAGAAGACGATGTCCCATTGACCGTCCACTTCCCGTTCGAGCAAGAGGGGGAACGTAGCCAGCCGGCCCCCACAGATGAATTTCGTGAAGCCAATGATGAACCTGAAATCAATCGAATTGAAGCAGAACCCGACGATGATCTTAAAGAACCGGTTGAAGAACCAGAAAATGCGCTCCCTTCGCCCACAGAAAGACGCAAAATTCCTAGTGAATTGTCGTCAAGGCATAGCAAACGGAAGCGCAGGCTCCCCGGCAAGTTATTTGATTACTTTATCGGTTATAGAGCTATTTCTGGCGAATTGATTTCCGCAGTTATACCCGAATCGTTTGATGAACTGCCCCAGCGTGCTGACCGAAATGGTACGAAATGAGTTACGTTCCATGGAGGAGAAAAAGGTCTGGCGTCTTACGAGTTGTCCGAAGGGAGTGAAGCCTCTGAAATCGAAATGGGTGTTTCGGCTGAAGGACGAGTCGGCCGGCAATGCGGTCAAACATAAGGCGAGACTGGTGGTGAAAGGATTCCTGCAAAAGGCTGGAGTCGATTACGAGGAGACATTCGCTCCTGTTGCAAAACTGGCCACCATCAGGACGGTTCTCGCGGTCGGAGTGCAACAGTGTTTCCACTTCCATCAAATGGACGTCAAGACGGCGTTTTTGCACAGCGACCTGAAAGAGGAATTGTACATGGCGGTTCCCGACGGTGTTGCAGCGTTCCCTAATACAATGTACCATTTACTCAAGTCCCTGTACGGCCTCAAGCAATCCCAAAGGTGCTGGAACGAAAAGTTCAACGATCGGTTGCTGAGTTTGGGGTTTCGTCGATCGCTGCACGACTACTGCCTCTACGTGCGGGTGGTACCAGGAGACGAAATTTATATCATTCTGTATGTGGACCATTTGCTCATCGCTGGGAGGAAGATTGAAACGATTGT